AAAATACTGCTAACATGGAAAGAAAAGGGACAAAAAGCATTTGGGAGAGGGAACATCAACTGAGCTGAGTAACAGCTTAAACATGTGGCTTTCTCTTCAATTAGAGAAACATACTAATGGGCTAATCCTGTATACATGAAGCCAAAGCAAGCAAGTAATACTGACAGGTGATTCCTCAAGCCAGTCAAAGTTCAATGTTGCACTGATGACCACCATTTCCTTTCAACTGACAGTTGTGAAAGTCAGTTTAGGAACACAATAATTCCCTGAGCTCTAACTAATATTAAGTCTTATCACTACAGGGTAGTAAGTTCAACTACAAAACTCACAAAATTATGAGTTTATGATCATTCTTTTGGCTTTTCCCCCTTTTATTATTATTAATAGACATGACTAGATATGAGAATGATCTACAAAACCACTTTTTATAAATCTTATATCAATTTGCAATGATATAGCTAGGATTTAATGCTGTTAGTCTCTCAAAGTATTTATATATATATATGTATAAAATTCAAAGTTTAGCTGTCAGGAAGCTCACAGTTAAATTTAATATCAACTGCTACTACCATTTTAGCATAAGCTCCTGGTATAATTATCTGATCTGTCTCTATTTTTACTGTTCTTACCTTTGTTTATATCAAAGCCTTCTAAAGTCCTTTTTGGAAACATGAAGGGTACATATTAAATAACTACTCGTAAAATGACAAGAATAGGAAAACGAGCAGAAGGGAATTGGCCTTGGAGGAGGAATGAGAAAGTTCTATTTTAAACCACTTTGTTAGGGCTATGTTAAGTAATGACTCATCAGTCACACTAAATTCTGTGTAATCTATTTCAAAATTTCTGTCGAACTCTCCTGTTCCTTATACATTCCTTCCCCAACCCCTGCCACAACTTGAGTACAGGCCACTATACATGGATTTTGTGTGTTAAAGGCCTCTTCAAAGAGCTAAAGAACAGGATTTCTGGTGGCCTAGTGGTAAGATGCTGTGCAGCAAATCCACCAACTGCTCTGTGGGAGAAAAACTGACACTCTCCCTTCCTTCAAGTAACTGCCTCTGAAAACCTGCTGGAGGGTCAGCTATGAGTTGGTTCTGACTGGACAGCACACAACAATAAAGTGCTAAAGAACAAGGGTTTAAGAGCAGTTTAAAGATTAATGTGCACCTGACTCAAGCAATAGAATTTTCAACTGTTTCTTATGCATGTGAAAGTTGAACAATGAATAAACACAATCAAAGATAAATTGGTGCCTTAGAATTGTGATGATGGCTAAGAGTATTAAATATACATGGGCTTATAAAAGAACAAAGCAGGGGGGAAGGGGAGGGCAGGGAGAAAACTACAACAATGAATGACTGGAAACCCTAAGTCTCTGTAAACTTTCATTAACATTAATTAAAAAAAAAACATCAAGGGGAGCTCTGGTGGCCTAGTGGCAAGAAGCTGCACTGCAATCTCAGAGGTGCACGGTTCGAATCCACCAGATGCTCTGCTGCGGAAGGAGGGACAGTCTCCACCTGTACCAGTCATTTGACGGTATACACACACATATACATAAATAAATAAATAAAAAGAACAAAACAAATGTTTTGGAGGGAGTGCAATGAGAGTACTTTTAAGACGACAGTGGGACTTCATCTCACATACTTCTGGCATGTTGTCAGGAGGCACTAGTTCTTAGAAAAGCACACTGTGTTTGGAAAAACGGAGGAAGACCCTCAGTCAGATGGGCTGACACAATGGCTGTGATTGTGAGAATAGTGCAAGATAAAGCTTGTTTATAAAGTTGCTATGAGTCACAGTCTACTTAACAGCATCTAACAACAGTTTGGCTTCTAGTCTTGGCTCCTTCAAACAATTCTCATTGTTGTTGTGTACCCTAGAGTCAGAACCACCCTGTAGCTGACCCTCCAGGAGGTTTTCAGAGGCACTTAATTGTATGGGAGGAGACTGCCCATGAAGCTGGAGGCCTCAAACTGTGTGCCTTTGGGACTGCAGTGCAGCTTCTTGCCTCTAGGCCAACAGAGCTCAATTACAGAGTGCTATTTTTAAAATACTGATTGAGGTCTAAAGAAAAAAAATTAACATGGCTCAACATGCTTTCTACATGATCTGGCCTATGCCTACCTATTTGCTCCAGATTTACCAATCTTTATTTTTCTTCATGCTTTGGGAAATGAGTGTAGACTTAGTGGTACCAGACCAGACCCCCACTTACCTATACACCGACTACCCCTGTTCCCCAGGACCTACTGCTCTTCAAACAGCAAAGTCTGCTTTTCTTACTATTCACAGCTTAAACATCATAACTTCTTGGATGCCTATCCAGATCACCACTTTGTCTCCCTGGAATTATCAAGGCATCTTGTGCATACCTTTTCTTTTCGTGCTTATCACATATTTCAACTGAATGAGCTCTGCCACTTAAGTGTGGAATAAGTAAGAGCACAGTGATTTTAATATTGTTTCCTTAGAGCTTATCACAGTGCCTAGCATGCCCTTGATGCTCAATATTTAATAAACAAATTTGATCAATGAAAATCTAGCAAAAGACACTAGACTAGCCATGAAATTAATACTACTGAGCAAAACAGATAATTTCTAACCCACTAGAGTTTGTAACCTAATAGGAAATTACAGTCAACTAAGCAAACCACATCCAATTCCAAATTGAGATACCTTTTATAAAGGTAACAAATAGGAACAGTTTTAAGGGCTAGGTAAGGAAGAGTTATCAAAATAACGACATTGAGACTAGAATGCTGAAAAAAATAACGGGCTAAGTCCTTCTAATTTTTTATATCTTAATAACTATATTTCAAATATTGAAAGGCCATTTATTTTGGCCAATACGTGTATACCGAATGACTGCGATGTACCCTACTACACGTCAGAAGCAAGAGTACAACTGGAGGAATACGCTGCAAGTTTCTGCTATATTTTAGGTTCTCCCTCCAGAGTTTCTCCATTTCTGTTCCTTTCAGCCCTCTCCAGGGCTCTCTGGTTCTAAGGCTCTCCGGTCTAACCGACTCGGTCTTAGGAATCAGCGTCCAGGACTCCTCTCCATCCCCGCCCCCTCCTTCTTTGTCGAGACTCTTCCCTCCCTCTTCCAAGCCCGGTTCTTGCCTCTGTGAAACCCCCATAAGTTGTCTGGTAGAATTCATCTTCCTCCTCAGCCTCTAGCAGCCCAGAAAGCCTGTTCCCGGCGGTTTTCCGGGGGGCCCGGCCACCAGCCAAACTCATACTGCACCCCCTCACACAGCTCACTTCTCAAAGCTCGACACTCGACACTACTACCTGCGAGTGGCTGACGCGAAGGAAGTAGGGCATCTTTAGGCAGAAGCAATAGAGTGTCGAGGGCCTCGCTTTTCATTTACTTTTTTATCACCTGCACAAACTCCTACACTACGCACCACAACCACTCCCCTCACCTGCATCTACTATTGCACATGCTTGCACATCCCTATATTATTCCTTGAGGACCAAGGCTATGAAAGCATTCTACTCCATCGAATACTACTACCAAGATTGTAGAATTGCATGTCAATCAGTTTTGTATTAGGAAAAAGTCAGTCTACCTTGCATCAGTCTGTTTTTCACTTTGCTAAAAACATATACAGGCCAACCTCTCCTGGAGATGTTACTGGTTCACTTCCACGTCACCGCAATAAAGCCGATCACAAAGGTTTTGATTTCTCAGTGTACATACAACTTAAGTCGGCTTTAAATCTCTTAAGTGTACAGTAACAGCACTATAAAAAAGTTTGAAATCTTATCAAAGTTAGCAAAATGTGACAGAGGCACAAAGTGAATGCAAGCTGTTGGGAAAAATGGTGCTTACCAACTCACTTGAGGCAGTATTGCCATAAACTTTAAATTTGTGTTATTAAAACCCCAAAACCCACAATATCTGCAAAGTGCAATGAAACAAGATGAGATTGTACTTAATTTTGTCACTCCTCTGCTAAAACCATTTACTAGTTCCCCACATCTTTTACAGAAAAAAAAATCCAAACTCTTTAAAGAAAAATAATATTGTCATATGTCTGATAAAGGACTTACGCCTAGACTTTATAGAATACTCGAGCACCACAATGAGATAAAGGTAAACAACCCAATTGCAAAAGACACTTCACCCAAGAAGACATTCAGATGGCAAACAAATACATGAAGAAATGTTCAAAATCCCTAGCTCTAAGAGAAATGCAAATCAAAACAACTATGAGATATCATCTCATCCCAATAACAATAGCAAAATTCACAGAGCAACTAACAGTAAATGCTGGCGAGGTTGCGGACAAACTGGAACCCTTATTCACTGTTGGTGGGAGTGTAAAATGGTGCCTCCATTATGGAAGGCAGTAAGGTGCTTGCTCAAAAAGTTGGAAATAACAAACAACAACATACTTATTGACTACCAAGCTACAAAGGGGAGCTCTGTGGGATCGTTCATAGGGAGTTAGGCCCTTAACCCAAAGGTGGCACATCTCTGCCAGTTCAAATCCACCAGCAGCTCTGCAGGAGAAAGATGGGCAATTTCTGGTGTGATCTACAGACTGCAAAAGGCTACTGGAGTATCAGCTATAAATCAATTCTGACTGGATGGCCACGGAGGGTCAGTGAAAGTCAGGAAGCCCCTCAATGAGATGGACTGACACTGTGACTGCAGCAAAGAGTTCAAATACCTCAGAAATGATGAGGGACAGAGAACAGGACAGGGCTCAGTTCTGCTGTGTATAGGGGCACTAAGAGTCATACTCAACTCAATGGCATCTAACAACAATAATTAAGCAATAAGAAAATAAATTTAAATATTGGATAAACCTGGAAGCAATCTTTTAAAGAACTTTATTATTTAAGAAATCATTAAAAGAAACAA